ATGAAGAAACTTTAACCCATTTTTTAAAGCAAGAGTAGACTGAGTTGGTGTTTAAATTTATTTATTTGCAAGGTTTGTACTGACACTGTACTTACATATTTATTATACATAGCTTTCTTGATATCGCTTATGAATTAGAAATATTAGTGAATCTATCACACTATTTGAAGACAAAACTCCTAAAGAGAAAAACGTATGCTCTGAATACCTGAAGTAGTCCAGACTTTCATGTTTAAAAAGCTTCATTTTCCTTTCTGATTAACTGAAGAGCTATTGATCCATGTCATACTTGCCACCTAATGTAAATTATTTTTGAAACCTTGCTGTACAAAACTATCATGTAAGTGTAAAGGTTGCTTATTCTTGGTGTGAAGCAAATTACAACTTTTAAAATGAAATGTGTGTTCCTCTAAAGCAGTGTTTCCCAAAGTGTGGTACGGGTACCCCCAGGGGTACGGGAAGAGTTTGGTGGGGGTACGCGTTGCACCGGAGTCTGGTGGGGATATGCACTGCACCGTGCTTAGCTGCGCCTAATTCTACGTTCTCATGAGTATATTATAGAAGTGGTACATATATATCAAAAGTTTGGGAAACACTGCTAAAGTAAAATCCAAATTTTATCTTTCTATTGATACTAAAATTTGACATTTTTCTTCAAAGTATAAAACACACTTAAAAGCCCTAATCTTTGCTTTGAGGATTTTTTTTTTAACCAATTATGAAAGAAGAATAAAACAACCTCAAATCTTTCACCTTTTCTAGGAACAGAAATGTTAAAAAACAAAACAAAAAAACAACAACACTGTGCAGCTTTCATGTTACGGGCTGTTCTTACTGACTGAGCCTTCACATCAGCAGAACCTCATCTGCTGGTCGGCCGAATTCAGGCTGCTGCAGTTTGATGTCGTTTGTGCAGAGCTACAGGTTTCTTTTTAAATCAAATAATCAGTTTATAACAAATGTACAATGCTGTTCGTTTTTTTTGTTTTTTTTAATATTCCAGAAATACTTTATCAAGCTTCTATAAATTAATAGGCATTTTCCCCTTCTGGTTCGGCTTACATGTATTGAAAACTGAGTTACTGGCCTCACTGGCTAGAGTTGAATAAAATGGCAAAGTAATAAAATGAAAAGCAAAACTAGTGTCCCTAGGTTTTCTATTTGGCCTTGACTCTCTTCAAGCGCCACCCCAGCCCAGCCCACAACCTTTAACATAGTTGATTTGGCGGCAGCAAAAAACCTGACACACCATGAGACAGCACGAGACTGGGTTCCAGCCAGTGAGTGAACCGGCTTAGGGCTTGTGCTGCAATTCAACTTGGTCGTTCATTCCATTTTGAGGTAGAAGCACATACTCTATTGTATTGAGTCGTTGGGATTTTAGGAAGGTACATTGCTCAAAAATGTAAAAGGTTGCCTGGCTGGTGTGGCTCATTTGGTTGAATGTCATCCTGTGCACCCAGAGGTCACTGGTTTAATTCCAGGTTGTGGGCTCAATCCCCAATAGGGGACGTGCAGGATGCAGCTGATTGTTTCTTTCATGTTTCTCTACCTCTTCCTTCTTCTCTCTCTAAAAATCAATAAAAACATCTTTTTTTAAATGTAAAAGGTCTCCTCTACTATTAAAACTAACCAGCAGAGCTCTAACCAGTTTGGTTCAGTGGATAGATCGTCTGCCTGCAGACTCAAAGGTACGAGGTTTGATTCTAGTCAAGGCATGTACCTTGGTTGCAGGCACATACCCAGTAGGGGGTGTGCAAGAGGCAGCTGATTGATGTTTCTCTCTCATTGATGTTTCTAACTCTCTATCCCTCTCCCTTCCTCTCTGTAAAAAATCAATAAAATATATATTTAAAAAAAAAAAAAACAAAAAAACTAACCAGCACATACCTGGTATTTGCCAAAAACATGAAATTTTTATTGATGACTTATCTGAACTATACAGCTGTATTAATATACCAAGTGAAACTATTCTATTATGCAGAATAGCCACACAGACTATACCCATTACCACTTTATACTTTCCGGACTACTAAAAATTTCAGTACAAACTTGTGTCAGTAAAGTTGATATGGAAAAGAATCCAATTATGCAAGCTGGGTTTATTACAAAATTTGGGGAGAAATATTTGAAGTTGCTTCACTAAAAACCAAAGGAAAGGAGAATGAATCCAGTCATTGTTAGGTGGCACCAACTTTAAAGAAAATCTATAGCTGGCAAGAAAGATTTCGAGTAGAAATCCACTATGACCTATGATGCTGGGAGAAATAACTTCCTGTCACCATCAGGAATTGGTTGCTTTGCAAAAAGTAAAATTATACAAGGGTGGTAAGGAATTGAGGGTAAATTTGCATAAATCTGTAGGAAGTGACACTTGGGGCAGGAAGTGTCCTCTTGAGGGAACACCTCCTTTCATGTCATCCTTAGTGTCAGTTGGTTATAAAAATTGTCCAGGTTGGGGTAGATATGGGGTCTAGATTTAACAAAAGTGAGTTACGGATGCCTTGTTTTTAATCAGATTTTGCTTTCATAGAAGCATCTGAAGACACTGGGGGCTCGTTCATGGAAGTGGCCACCCTCTACTGATATGTATGTACATCTTCCCCTCCAACATTTCTTCTGACCTCTCCTTAATTCTGAAGAGTAGTCGGAGTTGCATCTGGTCTGGTAAACTTGAGTTAACTCTAAAACAAAGCTGCACAGCTGTTCCCAGGCAAATGGAAGAGCACCCTTTTCCTGGCTGGTAAACGGCCTTGCACATGGCAGAGAAGCCTGCAGGGTAAATGCTCTCCAATGGCCGCCTCTGACTCCTTTCAGTTGCTTCTGTCACATCAGCAGCGAGGTGAGAAGAGGTGAATGCTGGGCCCTTCAAAAGGTCATCAGAAACGGGAGTTTGCCTCTTACACAAAGTCCACACTTGGGTCAACATTTTGCCGATACAGTGGCTCGCTAACAGTTCCTGTGTTCTCTGCCACCTCCATGCATTAACTTCTTAAAAGCAACTCTTGATTGATGGCTGGGTATTCTGACAGAGGAATACCTGAAGTGACTATTTCTGAAATACTTGCTGAATCTCCATGATTATCCAACTATTCATACAGGTCTCGTAGATCCAGAATATACTGTGCTCCAGCCTGCCACCAGGCAGGCCTCTGAAACCCCTATTTCAGATGACACAGGTCTCCGAACATTGAAACAACTCACCCTGACACTGAATGGGGTTATGTCGAATTCTGTGTGTGAATGACTTCACTCGTGCAAGGTCATGGAAGACTGAGGCTGTCTGACTCCCATTATTACCCCACTTCACTTTAATGCCTAGTACAGTGCTAAAAGCACATAGTGGGTGCCCAATATTTGTCTAGTTTAAAAAAAGAATAAGGCTGTAGCTTAGTATAATCTCAAGGTTTGTCTGTTAAGTGTGTAGCTGATATTATTGATTGCCATTATTCAGTTCTGAAAATGAAACATTAATACAAGGCTATGTAAATAAATGCACAAATATATTTCATCCTCAAATTCATATAGGATATTCAAAACCTAGATATATAACTTTATGGTCCTACTGTGATTCTCTATGTAATAAAAGGGTTAAAAACATAATACAAAGTGTGAAATAGTTGGATTTCTATTTTAAAATTTACTTTTCATCCTATTTCTACTGCCAAACGTTTCTGTCTATATTTGGGAAATAAATGACTTGTGGCAGTATTGATGACTTGTGCTCTGATATGGAAAGACGCTTTGGTCATCCAAACTATTCCTAACATTCCTGAACTTTGTTCTATGTCTAAAAGGTGGGTCAAAAGCAAATATTTATATGTTGAATCATTCATTTCTCATTATTAAATAATCAAGCTTAAAAAAATCTGATCTTAAAAACCACATATATGAACATGATAAGAGATTACATGCACTGTTAAAACTAGTATTCCCACTGTAGGAATGATAATGCAACTTTCTATTTTCATTTACTTCATGACCAAAAAAAAAGAGTGTTAAGCACTAGACCAAAATCATTGGCTTCTATAGCTCTGAAGCAATAACTGATCTACTCAGTTGGACTGCTGTGAATTTTTTTTTTAATTTTCACATTACAGGAATAGGAAGTAGAAAAAGCAGCTGTTTAATTATTCACAGGAGAAATTTTTATAACTTGTTCATTAAACACTTATTTCATAGGCCATTCTTAGAATATTGGTTTATAATTATATTGGTATTATATTGGTTTATAATTATAAGAATAAGGCATTTTACCAAAGCCCTTCCCTGGGTACCCTTTATCCTTAAAACAGAATGGTAAGATGTGGGGCAGTTCTTCCCCCACCAACCTCCAGAGCATGCCCAAAAAGGCAAAGAACTCTGAAGACCAGAATCACAGTCTAACTTTCTTTGAAAGTAGCCAGAATGAGCACTTGTCCTTTTTGCAAAGGTCAGATGAGGTTCCTTCTTGAAGTGTACCTACCATCCAGCAAGAGCCAATGAACCTGGTGTCCGATTTCAAGCTATTTTTTCTTTTCTCAAAAATTTTCATGAAAACGTACTCAAATTTTTAATTTCTCACTTCCAACGATGGTGGTGTAACAGAAATGGATTTATTTAGTTATAAAGAGTAGCTAGCTGAACTGTAAAAAAACAATCTCACCGTCTTGTTTATTCTGTGCTCTCTCGCCCTCATTTTAATCTAGCAACTGCATCCCAATAGATTCAGTCCAAAGGTTTTTTGTAAAAAACTAACTTAATATGTATATTAAATTTCAAAAAGGCAACATCATTAAGAAAGAAGTTCCCACACATTAGGGAGGAAAAGGCTCTGGATTCTCCTTTCTCAATGGAAAGACGTTTCAGAACTAGGGCAGAACCCTGCACCACGCAAAGGGTAACTTCATCCTTGGGGAATTCTCTGGGAAGTTTCCTGTACAGAAAGAGATCCATTGTCTTAATGTGTGTCTGCACAAATACACGGTGCACAGAAAAGTCCACTGCTCTTCGTCCTTCTGCTACCGTAGTGACGTCTTCAAACATTTGGTGAAATCCAGAGGCAACTGAGTAACGGCTTCATTGCTAAGTCTTATGGTTAGCTGATTTAAATCTTCATTCAAAAATGAATCCCCTTGTAAAACTTTATCCTGAAGAAATATTAAAAGAGTTAAAAGTTCTTATGCCAACAACAAAAGCCAAACTATGAGCAGAGCTAATACCACAGCAGCTAACACCAAACCAACCACATGTGAGCTATGATAATGACGGGGCTGGGTCCAGTTGTGGGCATACCCTACACTGAATGAGACAGTCCCATGACTCTCTATAGAGTTCCAACCCCAGAAATGCATCCTCCCATCACTGACTAAACAAGAAAATCTACCTATTAACACTTAGGCAAATTGGAAACAGTTATTAAGAGATATATTAGTTCAGTGTTGACTTCATCTTCTAAAAAAATAATGAAAAGTATCACATACCTTCCTTTTGGGGCTGGAAGTTTCCACAGGAGGATTGAATGTCATTGCAGCCATGCTGTAAGCCTCAAAGAGCTCCACGGCCGATCTGCAGTCACAAACAGAAACCCAGTCACAAAGACACCACCACACTGCGCACCTTGAAAACGATGAATCGTACCCAGAGAATGACTCACTATTCTAAATCCAAGCATTAAGATACAACATGATCCTGTTTTTGAAACCAACAAATCAACACACACAAAATAAATCCTAAATCCCCAGGTGTTGACAACATTATCCAACGAACTCCACCTCCCACAGGTCTGGTGGGCATTCAGAAACACGGGCCTGAGCGGAGACGACTGAAGAGAAGAGCTCACACTCAACATGACCAAATCCCAGCTCAACCACAGAATGTAAACAATATGCAACCAGCTTAACTTCCTCACAGGAACCTGAGGAGCCAGGCATGGAGCCATCCTCCAGCGACTCCAAACAGCTCAACCCTCCCATTGTTGGCCTGGATTAAAAGCCAGGAGAACCATTCTCCAGAGAGAATAAATGTCTATAATCATGGACATAAGTGAGTCCTTAATGATTTGAGGTTGGTTCAGACGATGAGGTGGTTAGGGTTACACCCCAAGGTTACACCTTTTTCCACACACTCTGGAGAAAACACAGCAGGAGCCTCCTTTCTCAAGCCTTTGGGATAAACGAGTTGCTCATCATCTTCCGGAAAAGGGAACCTCTGGCATAAATGAGGCAAATATTCAAGAGCTCTGACCAAAACTTGCCATGGGGGGAAACGGTCATAAAGAACTGTTTCCTCCCTTTCTTCCCTTTTGAACATAAGGCCGGAAGACAGGTAGAAAGAATGAAGGAAGGAAGTAAATGGCCATTTTTTAAATTTTATGGCCAAAAGTTATCTCTATCCTACCCAGAAGTAAAAGGCTTTATGGAAAACTGCAGAGTTATGCCTCCTTTAGAGGGGTCAGCAGCTAATTCCTGCCACGTCAAAAACATAGCCCCATCTAGCCAAACCCCCCAGAGGGTGAGGTGGAAGCCGGAGGCAGTCATCCAAGCTTCTTGCAGGTCAGGAGGCCGAGGAGAGAAACCGCTGCCTCCCGGACGCAGTGTTTCCAAAGCACTTCCTCTCCCCATTCCTCCCTCTGGCCCTCCAGGACCATTTAAAGAAAAAAAAGAAGGAAGCCCATTGTATTGGATTAATGGATCTTCACATAAGTGAGTATGGCACTGTCTTATTTATTAACTGTTGAACTGGAGTCATGGGCATATGGAGATTCGCTATTCTTTCTACTTATCTATATGAGTAAAAAAATAAAAATAAAAAATGTGTGATTACCTGAACAAACAAATAAAATGAGAATTAGCATGTTTTCTTTCTAGACCTAATCCAGACAACCAGCTAGCACCGTACATGTTAACTCTATTACATTATAAGATAGACTTCTCCCCGTACAGAGCGATCAGCTGAAATGTATGGTTTTATATTAAGGCGATGCTAGCTACTACCTTCGGCTCAACTCTGGCTTGAGTGCTTCAGAGCCTTCCAGAGGGGCTCCCGCGATCAGGTGAGCTGCCAATCTCCGCACGATGGGATGGAAATGCCGCTGAAGGGGAAAGAGGACAGCATTTGTACAGGTCAGTGTTTTATAAAACACTTGCTACAGTGAAGATTTTATTTAATAAGCACTAATTTAAAAGAAAACTATAGATGTATATGTAATTCGTAAGAACCACATAACTACAGGAAAAACACTACCTTTGTTCACAGGATTACAACACAAATCTGATAAGCAAGTCACCAGTGACGTAGCACAGCCTCGCTTTTACAGAAGGAAAAGAAAAGTCAAAAAGCCACTTCTCTTTCACAGGGAAAAATTTTGTTCACAACAGGCTTCCTGGGTCGTATTTTCTGAGTCTCACTCTGACGCCGGCCACACCGTAGGTGAAACCCCCTCCACACTGGCAGGTGGGCCTGTGCCGTCTCCTTGGGTGGCAGCCAATACAAATGTGCCCGGGACGGGAAACATTCCAACAAATTCTACCCCAAAAGCTGTCGTTTTCAGCTTCCTTTAAAAATGTATTTCAACATCTCAGAGTAGGAAGAGCGAAGTGAAGTGTAGGCTATTAAAACATAAATTCTAGGAAAGGCAGGCCCAGAACAGAATACACTAAGTACCCTGGCAACAGTAGGTAACTCTTGGGAAAAGCTGAACACGGCCACGCGCAGTGCGAGGGAGGGGCGCTTACCCGCAGAGCATGCAGCTCCCACAGAGCCGTGTTCTGGGCATTGCAGTACTCGGGCTCGTCCAGCTCAGGAAGGAAGACCCCGCTTCCCTGGGACTCATTGTCAAGCAACAGGTCTGTTTTGGGGAAAGTCTGCAAAAACGTCACATAAAAAAGATTAATTAAATTAATATTATTCGTTTAAAGACAGTTCCTGGGTTCTGCATGTTTATTTATACTTAAATTTCATTTGGTTTTATGGCTATACAAGAGCTAAAAGCCCATGAGCTTCATACAAAGTTTTAATTTTGTAAATTTATACCATAAGAAAGCAAAAACTGCAAAAGATTATTTTTATGGCTTGCTCTGAAAAGAACTTATTTTATTTTGCAAGAGAAAATAGAATATTCTTTTCACCCAGCAATCACACTTTTAGGAATCTTTCCTAAAGAAAAAATTACATTACATACACATAAAGATATTCACGATAGCATTATTTGTTAATAGCAGAAACAATCTGTATGCCCATGAAAAGAAAAATACAAAATATAAAAGCCAGACTGCCTAAATTTGAATCCCACCTCTGCCACTTCTTAGCAGCAGCATCACTTTAGGCAAGTCACTCCTCTGGACCTCACTTTTCCCCATCTATAAAATGGGTACAATAATAGTAGCTACTTCACAAAGCTCTCATGAAAATTAAGCAAGTTTTGTAACACATTTTCACAGTGGCAGTCACATAGTAAGAACTATAGGTGTTAAACAACCTCATTTACTCATTAAAGAGACAAGGTAGTTAGTTATATTTGTACTGACACAAAAATGTGTTCATCACCATTAAGTGTTAAAAAATATATTGTGGAACAATATGTACATCATAATGCCCACAACGCCCTTTCTAAAAAAAAAAAAAAAGAAAAAAGAAAAAAAAAGCTTGTGTGTGTGTGTTTGGTGTGAATGAATATGAATTAAAAAAAAAAGTCAGCTGGGATCCCCACTAAATGGTAAAACTTGTAACCTCTGGAGAGTGTCGAGAGGGGCCAAACGCTTTCCTTTTGTAACTTAACGGACTTCCTTTATCATATGGTTTTGTTACAGGTGCGAATTACTTTTTTTTAATAATTTCACTGATTTTAGAGATAAAGGAAGAGAGACAGAAGTATCAATGAGAGAAACAAACATCGATCAGCAGTCTCCTGAACGGCACTTGCTGCGGATGACGCCCACAAGCAGGGCACACGCCCTGACTCGGCATCGATCTGGTGACCTCCTGGTGCACGGGTCAACACTCCACCACTGGGCCACAGTGGCCCGACAGGTATGAATTACTTCTAACTAAATAACAATGTAACAGGGGAGTGGAATGGACGGACACACACACACACCAAACGAAACGCCATCGTGGCACTGCCAGGACTTGGCGTTCTCCAGCGTATCACCACTCACATGCATTAATGTCCTGTTGGTTGCTAAAATGCCAATGCTTGAGTTGGGAAGGACGTGAAGAGCAAGGGTGCAGAGGCGCTTGATGAAGGCCAGGGCTCGCTGCTGGGAAACCTGCCTCCTGCGCTTGGTGAGCATGACATCGAGGCACTGGAGCACAATCTCAACCCCTTCGTTGGTCGCACCTGAAACAGCAGACACGCCCTTCACTACTTCTCCACGATCCAAGTTCACCTGCCCCAGAAACTCAGGCTCAACTGTCCCCGGTCCCACACCAGGTCCCAGCCTGTGACGCAGGGCTGTCCTGCATCTCCAGTCAATTCTCCCCGGTTCCCACTCTCCCGGTCTAACATGAAGCTACATACACAGGTGGCACCGGCAGGCCAACACTTCATACTCCCGTTCCTATTTCGCAAGGTTCACTGGCTATCATTCTGGTCACAACATATTCTTAAAGGAACAACTTACGAAAGACACATTATCTACATATACGTACCTGCATGTAACTTGAACAGTGTTTTGTAGAGATGTGTATAGAACTTCATTGGATCAATATTCAGAACATCACCTTTTGAAATGACAACAAACAATAATTAGAAATATTTCAGCCTCCAAAGCTAAAGCAAACAAAACTTGATTATGAAGATATCTGACCTTGCCCAGAAAGAATATGAAAAGCGGTCTGGACACAATGAAGACTTTCTTGATAGCTTAGGTCCTTAAAAAAAAAAAAAAAAGATATTAACAATAGTAATGCCATTTATATCTTAAAAAGTAATTCATTAATAGAGATACTTACACCAGACTCAATGAGACTATGTAGAACTACTAATAAATCATCAAAAAACTCCACATTTATAAGGTGAGCGAACCTAAAAATCAAACAAAACAGTTAAAAGAAAATCTAAAAATAGAAATAAAGCAGCCACAAATTAAACTTGATTTTAAATTTATAATTTTAATATTCCTTATTCTAAATATTAGCTATGATAGAGATAATAGAGAAGACTATTGTTACTTCTCATACATTCAGACTGACCTTTTGACAATGCATAGATGGACACTATAATCAGCAGGAACATCTGAGGCACTAAACAAACTAATACAGTATTTCAAAAATACTTCTGCCCTGGGAAACAAGTTGCTAAGAGCAAACAACTTCCCCGAAGAAAGTTTACCAGGCGTCCGGCACTGTTCTAAGCCCTAAGAGCACAAGCAGCATCAGCTCTCCAGGAACACGGGAGGTGGGAAGAAGGAAGGAGGAAAGATTCTGCTATTTATAAGAATATGGACAACATGAAAGCTTTAAGGGAAAAGAAGGCGGAGCTGGTGTCTAGTTCAGGCTCTGCAATGAATCACCTTTATGATCCTAGGTCAAGTCACAGGACTGGCCTGGGCCTCTATTTCTAGAAATAACTGAGATCACCCACTAGAGTAAAAGGGAAAAAATCATGGGAGCTCTCTACACACTACAAAAGATTAGGCCCGGAACTAGCTAAAGGATGTCTCTTCAGAATTAATGCAAGAGCCTTTGACACCATGTGAATCCTAGGACAGGAAAGGACTGGAAGTCACATACTCCCCGTCTACTGGTACAATCTTTTTGGGATGCAGTCTGGCATTATTTATCAAAATTTAAAACAAGCATACCCTTTGGCTTAACAATGATATAAACCCAAGTACATGAAAATGCTTCCAAAGCAGCCAAATAAAAATAATGCAAGGAAAGGCTGGTGACCAGAAATAAAGAGAACTGAGAAGGACACTGAGTCATCATTAGTAAACTCAGTCCAAAACTCATGGTTACTCTGTTCTTATTTACTTAGAAAGAATCTGAAAGGTTTCAACCTACACAAGCCCTTACTTGGCAAGACCTTCTAGAACTGCTGGCAGGAGAGGGGACCTCTGGGCCTTCTTCAGTATCCTGAAGTAAGTGACAAACACTATGTTCAGAGTCTCCGTGTGCTGCCAGAGAAACAAGACAGCAGGGCGTCAGTACAACCCGGTCCACTTTCTCCTGGATTACTGTAACCATCATCCAAGCCCGACTTTCTTACCCCTTCCCCTCCCTCCCTACAATGCAATCTTAGGAGCTTTCACAGAGTGAAGCTTTCACAGAATGAAGGCACACATCTGGTATTTCATAAAACCAGCACTGATCATGTGATAATTTCTCATATATCTCATAACTAAGCCTCATGAAATAAACCAAAATTATATAAGCATAAGTTGACACAATAAATCCCTAAAATAGTTTAACAAAACACTTTAAAAAGCATTGGACAGCGATTTTAAACTTTTTTTCATCTCATGGCACATATAAACTAATTAATAGAATTCTGCAGTACACCAAAAAAAAATCTTTTGCCAATATGACAAACACACACACACACACACACACACACACACACACAAAAACATATAATTTTGATTCATTCACACCAGATGGGTATTGTTATGTTGGCTTTTTTGGACAGTCTAAGGGAACACAGGTGAGGGCCCCTGACTAAACAGTCAGGTATTACGTGTTTAAAATTTCTTGCAGCACACCAGTTGAAAGTCGCTGGTACAGGGAACTGCCTACCAGTTTCAGTTTTCTCTCAGTACTCTCTGAGGCTTCCGCCTCCCGAAGCTCTCGCTCTAGCTTCTCTTCTGCTTTTTTCCACTGAAAATAGATTGAAAAATAAAAAGTATACATTATACCACTGAGTGAAAACAGCAACCTTCGGAGAGATAAAATACGTAAATACTGTGAAACGTACAGTAATACCACAGATTCTCTATTAATGCGAATAAAAGCAAAGCAGAAAAGCAAGGATAAGATGCACACGCAAACCAAACACAGGGCAGTGGTGGCCTCCTGGGAGGAAGGCACTAGAAAGAAATAAGGAGACCACAGAAGAGTCTAACTCTAGCACAGTGGTCTCTTTCTTTTCAAGAAAAAAACTGAAGTCTTCATTTTCTCTTATTCAGAAAGGGGAATACATTGGTTGTGCTATATTATTCTCTGTAGTTTTCTATAATTTAATTTTTTTTTCAAAAAAGAAAGAATATGCTGAGCCCAGAAATAATTCTTGTGGTTAAATCATCTACAATACAGAAGCAAGTCATCACCAAAACTTCCCAAACTCATTTATATATAATGCATAAAGCCAGATACTATATAGAAATTCAACAAAATATCTATTTGTTTCCACTTCCTTCAGCTCTAAGAGCAGCGAACAATGGTTGCTGAGCTGCCTGAGCCACAGACTAACTGCCTGAGAAAGCTTCCTTCCCTCCGAGCGGCTGATAAAGAGCTGGGCCTCTGTTTTCCCACCACAGTTGTGTATCCAGCTTCCGTGAGGACAGTATGGTATAAATAATGAAAATATGTATCGTGTTTCCCCGAAAATAAGACATCTTCCGAAAATAAGACCTAGTACATGGAAAGATAAGACATCCCCTGAAAATAAGACCTAGCGCAACTTTGGGAGAAAAAAATAATATAAGACACTGTCTTATTTTCGGGGAAACAGGGTACCTTCATTTGTTTAGTAATTAAGTCTAACTTGATAATTCTGTCATGTTTTCAAAATTTTTAGATACATGCAAAAATGGATATCCTAGAAATTATTTTTTATTTTTATAAGCAATTTGATAACCCTAAGCCATTAGAAATGTTTGAGAAATGATAACAACAGACAGTGGTAGCGGTAGCTAACGTTTATAAAGCACGCCGGGCCATGCACGCTGCCTGGTGCTTTACGGACATTATCTTACTGAAACTGCACAAAGACTCAGCAAGGCAGGCACTATTAATCAGCTCCATTTCTCAGCATTTAAAAAAAAAAGTGTCCAGGGTCTAATAGTAAATAAAGGTTTCAGATACAACAAAGGAACATGATTCAATGAACAGAAACCCACTTCGTTGCTAACTTCACAAGAAGACACCCTTTCTGTTAAGGAAAGAGCCTGGTGTGTCACAAGGATGCAGGTAAACGCCAGCATGGCAAGAAAGTCTTTTTCTCTGTTGCTCTCCTTCCAGTAAACTTTCAGTGTATATTGATTTAATTAAGTATTTCTTTGTAATAACTGGGAAAATTAAACTCTTTAAATAGTTACAATCATGATTTAACAATGATTTTTACCTGTTCTTATGCATAGTTTTAATCTAAAATCAAAACAAAAAAATGAAATAAATCAAACCTTTCGCTGCATTCTTGATAGGTTTTTTCTCTTTTCCTTGAAAGTCATGAATTTTTTTGGTTTATTAATGTCCTCTGTATCTTTTTTCACTTCTATTTCCTTGATTCTTAGGCACAAGAATGTTTTTAGCATCTAATATTGAAGAAGACACAAATGTAAGTATTAAGTTTATATTGCCCTCAAAAACTTTATGCAGAAAAATATGCACTTAACAATGTTATTTCCTCCCTTCGTGCAAAAAAAAGAAAAAAACCACCTTTGAGTTATCTTTTATCACATTTCACATAAAGATGTTATATTTTTGCTAAACATACTTGGTAACTTGTGTCTCTGAAAGCACAGCTATTATTTGGCTAAGTACAAGTGATATCATTCTGCAATTTGATGACAATAACAAAGAGAAAGCACATTCTTTGGCACTGGCAGGCAGGATTACAAAGAGCAGACAGGCCAGAAAAAGGTTTGAACCAATATTGGAGGAGGGGATATAAATTAGGTATTACTTTTTTTTCCTTTTTTTAAATATTTTTTTTTTTTATTGATTTCAGAAAGGAGAGGGAGGGAGAGAGATAAAAACATCAATGATAAGAGAGAATCATTGATTGGATGCCTCCTGCCCGTCCCGTTCTGGGGAACATGCCTATAACGTGGGCATGTGCCCTTGATCGGAATTGAACCTGGGATCCGTTAGTCCACAGGCTGACCTGAGCCAAACTGGCTAGGTCATAAATTAGGTATTTCTAAACCTGCTTTAATTTCCCATTTACCAAATGAAAAAATGTTGATCATATGATACAAACTTTTAGTTATAAGATATTTAAGTTCTGGAGATCTAAAGTATGGCATGGTGACTATAGTTAATAATACTGTGTCATATACTTGAAATTTGCTAAGAGAGTAGATCTTCAGTATTTTCACCACACAGGAAAAAAGGGTAACCATGAAAAATTATGAATATCTTAATTACATTGATTGTGGTAATAATTTCAGAATGTATACATATATTAAGTCATCACATTGTACACTTTAAAAACCCAACAAATTAAAAAATGAAGTTTATAATTCTAGCATCACCAAAATGAAAGTGTTTCCCTGTGACAAAGTTTTATGTTCAAACCTTATTATCTGATCACTCTACAATTCTGAATAAAGACACCAAATATTTTCTCTTCTTAAGTACAATATTTATAATTTTCGCAGTTCAACTAAAATTATCAGCTTTAATGAAAGGAATCTGATAGCAAAGGAAGACTGAAATTAGGAACTGAAACAGTAGAAATTGTGAGCTGAGCAATCAAAACTATTATATATGACGAGGTTACAGTTGGGGAATTGAGTATTTTCCCTTTCTACTTTACACACTTCTGTAAAAAATAAATACTTCATAGCAACTGAAAATTAATTTTGTAATTTAGAAACATAAATACCCCATGGCAAATGAAAATTAACTTTGCAATTTAAAAACAAAAACAGTATGAAGTAAAATGAGAAAAACTTACCTCTGGCCTAACATCATAATTTCTGCCCTTCACAAATCCAGAGATCACTTTGATTACTCCAAGGGAAGCTTGGCCTAATTTATCTTGCTTAAAAAGTTTCTTAACTGCCTCGCAGCACATTTCAGATATCTGAAAAACAAAATGTCACACTCACCTGGTGTTTCTCAGCCTCAGCACTACTGACATTTGGGGCCAGAGAAGTCTTTATTGAAGGGAGCTATCCTGTGCATGGTAGGATATTTAGATTCCTGGCCTTTATCCACTACAAGGCAGTTTACACCCCCAACCACCACAGTCTGGACAATCAAAACTGGCTGTCAGCACAGCCTAATACTCCCTGTAGGCCAAACTGCCTCCTGTTCAAAGCCATGGCACTGAACTTATAGGGATCAAATCGTTTTCTTAAAGAAAGTGTTCAGTAAAGTGATTCTATTTTAGCTCCAAATATTTTTTTGAGAGAAAGAAGCCATATGGTCTGTAATTTTCTGTTAAGCCCAACAGCATCACGTAGAGCAGCCCACCGATTTTGACAGGTCATTCATGAGAGGGACAATCAAGACGATGATGTTGTTGTGAAAGTTGAAGTGAGGCAGTGCCACCAGTAGCTCACACAGGCTCTTCACGGCCACTTCCGCCAGTCCTCTGTACGCCTTCAAGGAAACTACATTACTTTTCTTCAGCTTCCTCTGCTTCCAGTCTAATCAAAAGATAACTCCAATTACTTATTTTACTCATTGGCCAAAACTTCAGCTAATTACCTTTCTTTTACCGTAATATGCGATAAAATGAAAATTCAACCTACCGTGCAAATTCTTAAATATGAGTTGTATCTATCCTTAGACAAGATAAAGGTCATCACCAAAATGTTTCTACACCACCCCTCTGACTCTAATCACAATTGCCAGAATCTTGGCTTTCCATGTTTTTTAAAAGATACATATACTAGTGGAAACTGATTTGGCTCAGTGGATAGAGTGTCAGCCTGGGGACTGAAAGGTCCCAGGTTCGATTCCAGTCAAGGGCATGTACCTCGGCTGTGGGCACATCCCCAGTGGGAGGTGTGCAAGAGGCAGCTGATCAATGATTCTCTCTCATCAATGTTTCTAACTCTCTATCCCTCTCTCTTCCTCTCTGTAAAAAAATCAATAAAATATATATTTAAAAAAAAAAAAAAGATACATATATCAGCACGGCTGGTGTAGCTCAATGGCTGAGTATCAACCCATGAACCAGGTCACAGTTCGATACCCAGACGGGGCTCAGGCCAGAGTTGTGTGCTTGATCCCCAGTAGGGAGTGCGCAGGAGGCTGCTGATCAAGGATTCTCTCTCAACATTGATGTTTCCATCTTTCTCTCCCTTTCCCTTCCTCTCTAGAATCAATAAAAACTTATATAAAAACAACAACAAAAACACACAATAAATTCCAATCATTTATGAAGACACATACTAGTACAACTACTTACTAGGTAAAGGACTGCAACAACAATACTAATAACTGACAAAATACAGTCCTTAATGCAGGCTAGGCATAGTTGTAAGCACTTTGTATCTATTAATTCATTTACTTTTACACAACAATCCTGAGTTAAGGACTAGCATTATTCCCACTTGATAGGTAGAAAAACTGAAGCACAGGAGATTAAATGACTCACACATCACATAGGTGTTAAGTGATGAGCCAAGATTTGAACCCAAAAAGTCTGACTCGAGACTCTGCTCCTGACCATACATTATACTGACAGCCAACACACAGCACAGAATAGAGAATTAACCTTCCTATATTACATGCTTTCAAGATATTTACTATACCTTTAACCATTTGCTCCAGATTTTCCAAATAAAATTTATATTGGCTAACAAGCCCTTCTTCAAATTCTCTTAATTTTTGGGTTTCTTTGCGGATCTGAAAAGATCAAGAGATCAATCACTTTTTAACATCAAAATATTGAAATCCAAAAATTAGCACAAAATGTTGAGTGCCTAGTATACTAGGCATGTAAAACCAAACAAACAAAAAAAAAACCAACCCTGTTTCTCCCATCTCTAGCTCTCCAAAATTTTCAGCTTATTTTCTATAGTACAGTAATTATAGTTAGCATACCTTGGTAGATTTTTCTGCTTCTGTTAGGGGCCGAATTTTATACGAAGGAGTAATGTCTTTAAATAACTCCATTAGAGAAATGACCACCAGCTTTCGAATAGTAACAGCCACATCAGGATCCTGTTCCATCAGCATGGAACGTAATTCCTTCAATTTTTTAACCTGTTAAAGAAATGACTCATCAGGCTAGAGACATAATGACAGAAGAATCATGAGCAAAAGCAACAATCCCACATCTGGCCCAGTAACCAGAATTCACACAGTGACTCTGAGTCTAGTCAAGCCATACACAACTAGACGCTGCTCCCACTCGGACAGATAAGTCACTAAAGTTATAAAGTAGCCATGTTTTTATTAAATAAGTAGTTAGAAAAAAATATACTTAAAAAATAGTTTAAATTTGTTAATTTACCTGTTTTAAGAAAATCTTTTCAATTGGATTTTCTTGAGGCAGGTATGTCCTATTTCACTAAAAATACTTTTTGAAATATTGTTATATATATACACCAATCAAATGTATAATCTCACACGTATAAGTTAATCAGGAATTAGTACAATGCATCCACAGGGTAACTTAAGCTTCAGAGTTACTCATGGTACGATATTTGTCTGATGCAACACTGAAGTAAAAAATTGGTTTCAACTAATGTACACATTGCTTTGATGAAATACTACTGCCCACTGGAGTGATATCTTGAGAAGCAACACTCTGGCTGAACAATGTTTGCCATAGCAGGAGCAGGACAAGTATGTCACCTCCATTTGCCAGCCCTAACTTTTATGAAAAGAGCATGAGGCTCCAGAGTTAGACGACCTGGGTGCTAATCCAGTGGCTGTTAAAATCTGAAAGAAATCACTTGAGTTTTTAAAGGCTCTATTTTTCAACTGTAAGATGAGATCAATAGCTCTTGTCTCTATGGTTTGACAATGATTAAATGAGATGATACAGATCAGAAAAATCTCCAGTCCCCCTCCCTGGTTCTGCTCTCCTGACTTTGTTAGAAAAGGACAATTACTACTCCATAGCATCCCCACAGGAATTTTTTTATATAAACGTAAATAATCTATTGTATCATCGAATAAACAAGTATTGTCATAGGAGGAAGCTGAATACCAATATAACAAAAATAATAGTAACACTTCATATAACTTCATGTCTACTATATCATTCAATCATCACAACAATGTTTTAATATAGGTCCCATCCTCCTTTTGGAATGAATCTTGGCAAAAAAACTTACCCAATTCTAACACACTTACTTAGAAGAGCCAACACTACACCTTGGATTTCCTGAATTGACAAGTTATAACTATCTCACCTTCACTGCTGTGCTCATGGCCCAATGATAACTCATCATAACTTTCTGATCCATCTCACGTAAATATTTTCTACTTATAGATATTCCTAAACTACTCTGTCTTTTGTGTGCGTGTTTCTTTACTAGAGTCAGTCCAGCACATTTGCAAGTAGGTTCCTCCTCCCTAGCACAATTAATTTGTATAGACTTACCACTATGAGTTACAACATTAAATTGACTATCTTCATTTAGAGGCTCAGAGCATTTATGAAACTTCACTAAGATTACAGAAGAAATAAAGCTCAGATTAGAATTAGGCCAAGTTCTGTCTGCTCTCTCATTCTAACTCAGTTACTATGTTTTGCTAATGCTTTTCCTTTTTTTGTGTACTTTAGGTAACAAGAGAATCTTAAGATATTTGACATTTAGACCGTATCTAATGTGAAGAACCTAAGGAAATTAGAACTTCTTACATTACTTTCTGGGTCTGATAGAATGGCAGATGCCAAGGCTGCAATATGCAGTTTCTTCTCCTGTAGCTTCTTCTTTCTCTCAATTAAATGTTCTTCTATGGTCAGCTCTCGAATAGGCTCTTCAATTATCTCTGAAACAGATTAGGGTTTCCCTCTTAACCATTCCTTTATTTACAAGTGTCCAGGAACCTTATTTCACATCACCCTCTCAACAATCATAAGGCAGGTACTATCAATAGCCCCATTTTATAGATGAGGAAACTGAGGCAAAAGAAAAGTAACTGGCCTATCCTCATAAACCTAGCAGAAATGGGATTCAAATCCATGCAGTCTGACTCTAGAACTCATATTATTAATGACCATGCTAATAATCCCACAAGAATTCATATTAATTAAGGGGAAGGACAATCTGATTCAGTTGTTTTAAAAAGTACAGAATAGTCTTTGTTTTCAACTCTATCCTTTGAACTACACAAAATTTGTTCATATTAAGAAATTCATAGGGAACTAGATTTAATAAACACACAAGTATTATCGGCAACAAGCCTATGAAGGATGACTGAAAACCGTAAAATAGTTGACCTATAATGTCATTTACACTATCAATGCGATTTGCAAAGCAGAAGTAAAATTTAACCAGCTTGTTCGGTCACTAATGTCAATGCAATATAGTTTCAAACAATAAATTAAGTTCTTTCCATTTAACTTTAGCTAAAACTATACTAGCTTTTAGATACCCACATTTAATCAAACCAAAATAATTTCATATCATAGAATCATTTTTGTAATTTAAAGCTAAATAGTTAATAGTTATGTGTAGGCAGGTCCTTTACTTACAATTAAAAGGAATTCAAAACAGTTCAATTAACAAGACTCTTCATGCATGCCTACACATTACAAATATTAATGGCATAAATTTTTGCATAATAAAAAGCAACAATCAAATTCCACCAGATAAAACTTTCAAAACGTGAAAAAATGTTCACAATGACCTTGAAATAATCAGTACTCCAAAATGCACATTCCAGATTTTACCTAAAATTATCTCACATATTATACAAAAACTGTAGTTCTCAATTAACAACTTAGCAATTCTAAGGATGTATCCCATTACCTTCCTCAAGTTCCATCTCTTCTTGATCCTCTTCATCTTGGTTAGTGTCAAGAACTATGAAAAATATGTGTGTTAAAAATGTGATAATATACTTAAGTGATGAGACTATCAAGAAAAGCATGGAAGTGATTAAAATAAAACTCAGGAAACTAGTTATTTTTGTGAAGAGGGAGCAATTAGTGATTGAGGGGAGCACAAGGGAAGTTTCTGGGCGCTGGCAGTATTTGTTTCTTGCCCAGATGGTAGCTTTATGGGTGTGTTTTTTGTGATAACCCACATAACTTCACATCTTTGATTTCTGGATTTTTCTGTGCATTTTATTTCACAAGAAAAAAGATTCACATAAGGAAAAAAAGGCTAATAAAGGAGGACTAATATGCTCTAATTTTAGAAATCACAGAATTTGTTAAAATACTCTAAGATCACTTTAACCGCACAGCTTCAGTTATACTCACAGTCCAATAGACACTTAAGATAATCAACTGTATTTCTGCCAAAATCATAAGCTTACTAACTGTAGCTACTCTTATTTTATAGATATTAGTAAATCAAAATTAAATTAAATTTTTAATAAGAGAAATGTGATATTTTTAAGGAGCTAAAATTGTAACTGATTTACCTGGCTTTTCCCTGGTCTGTGGGATTATACCACTTTTATCTTTGATAGGAAGCAAGTGAATCAATTCCTTCTCTGGTGCAGTTTGCAGAGATCGTGGTATTTTTTCATATTTATCTATAATGTTCTCATGCTTTCGTTTCTTGGCGTGAACAGGTTCACTGCAGAAAAATATTTTATTTTCAGTTTTAATATTTTAAAAAGGAACCTAGTGATCTACCATTTTTAAAGCACAGAAAAAGTAACCACTAGCCAAACCTTCACTAGGTATATAAGTATTAGCACCTAAACCAGGTACTTAAATAGCAAATGAATAAATTAATATCATAGTCTATCACAAAGACTCAAACTATGGCTGTATCTAGTTTTCCCTTCAGGTGCAAAATTAAGAGGAAAGTTACAGCAGATTCTTTTTGAAGAATATGCTGCAGAGCCAACAAGGACATCATGCTATTCTGCGTTCCCCAAAACCTTCAGAGCATAGCATAGACTTAGGAGTTAAAAGATCTAAGTTTAAATTTCAGATCTACTAGTTGTGGGGAAGCACCAGTTTCCTCTCTGTAAACGGGAATAATACCCACCTCACAGAGTAAGGAGGACTGAGAGCACAGCCATAAAGAACTCAAGAATGTTCTGCCAATTCCTCAAACAAAGGAGAGCATTCTTCCCCATTCACTATTCAGACTCAGACGAAATAAAGATGTACCCTAAATAAAGTCAGCTTGTTTTATTCATGAACGTCCTTCATTTAGGAAATAAACTGAATAATGAATAGGGTTTACTCTTTGTAAACGTTGTGTTCAGAGCTGAAGTTCTACACTATCCACCTACGTAAAATTCAGAACCAAGTTTTCAATGCTGGAAGGATGTGAATGATTATAATCTAAACGAAGTATTACCTCGAAGAAAGATCTCTCGTTAGAAAAGATGCTCTTTGTCCTAAATCCTTCATTAACTGTAAGTCATCTTCATCCATCATATCTAAAGGTAGGGCTTCCTCTTCTTCCTCCTCTTCCCTCTCAATCCTTTTACCTGTAACACACACACACACACACACACACACACACACACACACACACACACGAAATCAGAAATATGTATTAAAGACATAGAACTCTGCATTTTTGTGTCTACAACAGGAAAAACGTACGTATACTTTTCTAAAACCTTAGCCCAGTATTTCTAAATGGGAACACTACTCACATGATGGCAGGACCATTCTTTGTTACACAGGTGCATCGTGTGCTAAGCAAAATGCTAGCACCTCTGACCCCTGAAACCTAAATGCCAGGATCATCCCCAGGTCACTCTTAAGAATAAAAAATCCACACTTTCTACAATGTCTTCCAGCGCATTCGAAAACCAGTGTCTGCAGAAACCGGTTTGGCTCAGTGGATAGAGCATCAGTCTGTGGACTGAAAGGTCCCAGGTTTGATTCTAGTCAAGGACATGTACCTTGGTTGCAGGCATATCCCCAGTAGGGGGTGTGCAAGAGGCAGCTGATTGATGATTCTCTCATTGATGTTTCTCTCTATCCCTCTCTCTGCCTCTCTGTAAAAAAAAAAATCAATGAAATATATATATATAAAAGAAAACCAGTGACTTAGTTCCTTAGCTTCATCTGATCATCAATGATTTTCACTTCCATTCCACTTCAGCTGCCCCCTCTGAAGGCCACATCCTAACCTAACCCAAGTCCTCACCCACTTCTCTGAGCACAACCTTTTGTTTTCCCGGAATCATTCAGTTACTTCCACTGCACCTCTTTTGGCCAAATATGTAGACCAAGCAAGTCAAACTTGACGCATGCGGCCCACAACGAGTATTTTTGCAGCCCAGCCAATGTAACGAACGGTATGAAGATATGTTTTCATAAAAAATTTCGTAACTTAATTTTTACAATATCCTGTTATACATAGTCTATAATTACAAAAGCTTAATATGCTAACCAGACCAGACATCCTTCCAGACTAAGCCGGGTCATGCATCAGGCTTCTAGTTATTAATAACAAACTACAACGTTCACTAATGACTGATTACTATAATCACATTGCATTCATTTCCCTTATGTGCCTTAAAGCAGGCACATCATTTCTCTCCACTAACACTAGCAGCGAATATTTTAGCAGCCGATGGCCACGTCATTAGTCTTATACTGACTTGTTTGGTGTGCGTAACAGGGAATATTTCACTTTCAGAGAACAAGAAAAATAGGTTTATTTGCGTTATGCTTATTAATTTGTGTAGTTATTCAGTGTCTGGTAAGTTAATGTTCAAGAAAAAACATTAATTTTTATTAAAATGTTCTATTATTTTACGTTAACCATTAGTCATTATTTCAGCCCTTTGTATTCAGCATGTCTCTGCTGATATAACCTACGTTTCTATGAAAATGAAGCTTTTGTTTTGTTTGAGGCCCACATAAACTTAAACCTTGTCTATTTGGCCTGTGTTAGCCTTTGAGTTTGACATGCTTGATATTGACCTTCAATCCTTTCACCACTCTACGTTTTTCTATCTACCAATGTGTTCTATCTTCATATCAAATATGTGGTGACAGTCTATAATTTCAAGTGGGTAAAAGCTTCAATACACACCACTTGTTACCTATTAGAAAAACACTTTAGCCGAAACCGGTTTGGCTCAGTGGATAGAGTCCCAGGTTCGATTCCGGTCAAAGGCATGTTCCTTGGTTTCAGGCACATCCCCAGTAGGGGGTGTGCAAGAGGCAGCTGACCCATGTTTCTCATCGATGTTTCTGACTCTCTATCCCCCTTTCTTCCTCTCTGCAAAAAAATCAATAAAATATATTTTTAAAAAGAGAAAAACCCTTTAGAACAACTCAATGGAAATTAGAGCACATGAATGCTCTCACAATCACCTGGTCGTTTTTTCTTCGGCTCCTCCAGTGGAATGGGTTTCTTAGACACAGCATCTTTTACAGCTTGCCGTAGTTTCCTCTGTTCTTTTCGGTACTTCTTGAGATTGCTTTGTTGTTTAAATTGCTTATTCTTTAGCTTGTTTTCAAGTTTGACTTTACTGGTTTTTATCAACTTCCTAAAGCTTGGGACCTGTTTTTTATTTCTTCTCTGGAAAAAAACAATAGGAGGAATGCTGCATAACCAATCATTTATTAAGATTTTTAAAATTAGATTAGAGAGAATTGCTTATAAATTTATTAGACCAATTCCACAATTCTAATGTCTCACAGCCAAGATCTGGCATAGAAGAGTTAAAACCAAACTAAGGCAAGTATCCTACAGAATGGCACTTGAGCCTCAGTTATTCAACCATGGGTCTTATTATGACCAGAATCCACAGGTGCTCAAAAGGGTCTAAACCCACCCCCCCATGATCTAATTGCAAATGGTTATTCAAGGCTATGTTAACTACTTTAGCATACTCAGAGCAAAATGCTGGCTGTCTTTAATAACTGACATTTATATATTACTTTACTGTTTACACTGTTCTCCAACCTACAACCTCCAACAGCCTAATTAAGCAAGGATTGCCATCATCCTGAAATCACTGCTGAAGCTATGGCTTAAGGATTATGCGACGTGTCAAAGACCCGTGTACTAACAAAGGCAATACTGAATTCCGGTCTTTGGATTCCATCTCTCTTGATGGTGACCCCTTATTCACAAATCCAAATCCTTAGGGCTAGCTCTAATTTTCCGCAAGAACTGGAGCAAAGCACTTGCTTTCCTATCTTCTTACCCTGTGGGGGGAAGGACTCGTTTCGAATCCTATGACTCGCACTATAAATTCACTGAGAACAGGACCCTGCTTCTCATCTGTAAAACAAGGGGTTCGAAACACAGTGTTGAAGGAACCCTTCCATGTCTGACATCCTAGGGAAGCAAGACCCCGGTGCTCGTCTCATCGCGGCTACTGAAGCCGAGCGCGATCACAGTGGGCAAGGAGGGAAAGACGCAGGTGTAAGATGCAGACAACGCACCGAACCAAGAGGGAGCCCCGCATCTAGGCCACCGCCCCCCGAACAAGGGCGAAAACCGCCAGAAAGCTACACCAGGCGGCAGCGACTCTCTCAGCCAAAGGGACCCCTTCACCGCGGGGGCCGGGCTTCGGAAGACCCTTACCGCCTTCATCCTTAAATCTGAAAGGTGTTCCGGCAAGACAAAGTCTCCAGCGGTAGAGACGATCCAGAAATCCCGATGGGGAGACACACGTGCCGCAGCCGCGACACTGCAGACCGGAAGCTGCTGCTGGCCCCGCCCCCTTCTGCGCCGGAAGTGGGGGCGGGACTTCCGCGGGCCGGCTGGGGCGGACGCCCTCTCGCGGGGACGGTCTCACGCTCCGGGGCCGGCGTCGCCCAAGTGCCCCGGGGGCGGATAGTGTACTGGCTCTGAGCCTTTGACCCTTTCCGGGTTTCCTTAAAAGAGGGAAATCGGGCTCCGCCTCTGAGAACGAAAGGACTCGATGTTTTCAATCACCTCTCTGCGTTCTGTGCCTCTGCCCACGTAGGTACCTCATAGTTGTGTTAGACTGGTGTTTCTTTTTGGTTTTTTTATTATTCCTCCCGTTAAATATTGATGGCCGAGAAAAACATTATTTTTGTTGTAATGCCGGCGCTTTGCTGACCCTCGACCAGCTCTCCGGGCGTGTTTGGGCGATGCCGAATTTCTCAGGACCTTCCGCCGCTCACAAGCTTGTGATTCTTGATTTAAAAAAAAAAAAAAAAAAAAAAAAAAAAAAAAAACCTTTTGCTTTAATAACCATTGCCTGACAGGTTACATCAGTGAGATTCATGTGCATTCCAATATTTTGCAACTATATTACCTTGGTGTGAATCGTATTGCCTGCTTAGGAGTTCCGCCGGCATTTTAACCGGTAGAATTACGCAAGAAGAACATGCTTTTCAAAAGGATTGACTCTAAGAGACCTTTCTTCATGAATAAATTTAAGAATTCCACTTCGGGTTATTAAAAAAGGCCCCCAAAAAAAGTCTGTGGTTCTTGAGCACATTGCGGACACTGCGTCTGGCCTGGCAGCCCTGAGCCAAGAGGGAAAAGAGAGCAGAGGCTCAAAAAGCTTCCGAGCTTCCGGTGGGTATTAGTCTTAGAGAGACTGAGAAGAAACCTCCCAATTTCTGTGTTCCCACCTCAAAAAGCAAGAATCCCGTTCTCTCTGGAATTCTTTCCGTTTCTTCCAGCCTCCCCAATTTCCCTCTGGCTCTCTGTCCTAACACACATTTTCAGAAACAGCGGAGCCGGTCCCAATGGAGCATTACTTCACCAAGCAAATCGAAAACGTTTGCCTGTGGTCTTCCCAAGTGTCTGAATTCTTTCCCAAACAACAACTTACCCATGGTTACTCCCATCATTTTCTGGCCTTCCCTGCAGTCTCACCACGCACAAGCATTTCAGTTCAAAACGGAATACCAGCTTTATCAAACTCCTTTATCAATAATTACCCCTTCTTTCCTATATTTTCCCTCCCTCATGGATCCTTCCCCTTGGCCTATAAAGGTATTCAAATCTCTAACATCCTCAATTTTTTTCCTAGGGACCCTATCTCCATAGGTAGGTAGGAAAGTAGGTAGGTAGGTAGGGTGCCACACCAGCACAGCCAAGGGTTGGGTGAGCCTGGGGGCGATGAAGGATGGAGAAATGATAGACAAAGAGAAAAAGCTGGGTCTAGGTGGATCTTCTGTGCCTGGTAGAGGCCACAGAACGCATCCAGACTGCAAAACTGAGGCATTATCTATAATCGGGAACAAACAAGGTAATCTAATCTACAATGTTGTTGTAAGTTTCACTTGTCTTGGCAGCACTTGCTGCCCCTCCCACAGCCCACTAGCTACCCAGGAAAGATCTAGGGAGCGGTTACAAGATCAAGCTTAATTATGTTTAAAGGACTGTGCCCTCCAAGCTGGGATTTGTTTGTGACTTTGCCAGCAAGGCAGTCTGAGACTTAACCCTATAACTGCTTCCTACAAGTAGGTGGTAGGTAGGTAAGTAGATAGATAGATAGATGGATGGATGGATGGGTTTCAGAGAGGATGGAAGAGGGAAAGAGAGAGAAACGTCAATGATAAGAGAATCATTGATTGGCTGCCTCCTGCACACCCACTACTGGGGATGGAGCAGCAACCAGGTCCTATACCCTGACTGGGAATCCAACTGTGACCTCCTGGTTCACAGGTTGATGCTCAACCCCTGAGACACCCTGCCGACAACCCTATCTCCTTTACATTGTTTTATTTTCCTCCTTCTCATCTTGTCCTTACTTCCAAAAAAAACTAACGTTCTCCTGGTGTCTCCACTTCCTCTTTCCTATTATTACAGTCCAAGCCTGTCCTAGCTTTTTGAGAAGTTAAGTCATACTCTTGGCCTGTTTTAAGTTTATATCATCAACTAAAATCTTTGGATCATTTTAAAACAATTACTGCCAAGCTAAATCTCACCCATCTTAAATTTGAGCAATCTATTATTTGAACACAAACTTAAAAATGGAAGTTTACTAACTTAATCTTACTGTTTTTTCAGCTTTGTCTCGTTTCCCATTCATTCAATCCATTGCTAAGCTAAATTTGGGCTACAGATCCTCTTGGATCCTCCAGAGCTTTCCTGGACACTTGGGCTGAGTGGGATCACTGGGTTACCCCAAACTAACTTCACAAGGATTGTACCCAGAGATTCCAGAGAGCCCTTTTCTTTCCAGAGGTCTGTTAACCCAACTGGCTCTACTGATAACATCCACTGAAACTGTTCTCGTTAAGGTCACCAAGAGCCTCTAGGTTGTGAATTTTTTCTTTTTTATGTGTGAATAGAGTCACGTAATTCATTCCTTCCTTCCTTCCTTCCTTCCTTCCTTCCTTCCTTCCTTCCTTCCTTCCTTCCTTCCTTCCTTCTTTTCTTCCTTCCTTCCTTTTTTAATCTCACAAGATCTCTCCATGCCATTTCTCCTTTCTCACATTGAAATTTTGACTGCCTTGACTCCCTTAACAGCCTCTACTCCAGGTTCTCCTGCCTCCATTCCTTCTTTCTCTGACCTCTTCAATGTTGACATTCAAGGTTCTACACTTGGCTACTTTTCTTCTGGTTCTGTTTACTCTCCCAGCATGATCTCATCCACCTACCTATTGAAGAGATTCTCAAATCTTTTGTCCAATTCATATCTTTCTCAAGCTTCAGTCTTCAAAGTTCCGTCCTGTAGCCACCTGCCTCCTAGACATCTCCACAAGGTAACCACAGAACTTCAATTTATCATGTTTAAAAACCGAACTCCAAACTACTTTTTTTCACTTGTGCCTCTTCCAACATTCCCTATTTCATTCATTTACCCACACCTAAAATCCCAATATTCCAGAGATCTTTGGAAACAAGCCAGGGATTTTTTTGGCCACTCACATATACAATTCTTTCATTTTCTATAAACAAACTGGATTGAAACTGTCACTAAGTAGAATGGTACAATAAGGTTGCTGATGTTCCAGTCCCACACGACAATTTATATGTTATAAAAGGTACCTTATGGAAATTAAAATGCATAATAGGTATGAAATAGATGCTTTATATTTCCTGGTGAAAAATTACTTTTCCTGGTGAAAAATTATTAAATGGTGTCAGATCATAAATGTTAAATACCCAAAATCACAACATTAAGAATTTGAAAGTGTATATATCATGGTCTCTACCATTGACATTGTTAAAATATAGTTAAGAAAAATAGACAGTTGAGAAAGATAATTATGCATGCCCAAATAGAGATTAATAAAAGAGATTGCATAGGTGCTAAAAAGATAAAGAAAAGGAGTTTTGGCAGAAATGACAGAGCAGTGTATGCTTGGGTGTTCCCTTATAGAAAGGATCAAGTCCAAATAGTTGGGATAGCATTTTCCAATAAAGTCACACAGGTAGTAGAGATCATTTATATTGTGGTCCATTAGGAAATTAGATTAGAATAGCTAGTGACAATGAAAACTAATGATTAATTGTTAAATTAAAATTGTCAACAAAAAACAAATTAATAACAAAAATAATAGAATATAGCAAATGTTATTGGTGTCCCATTAATATCCTGAAGGGACTTTCCATTCCATACATGCCTTAAAAAAAATCCTTGCAACTTTCAACCTGAAAATGTTTTCTCTTTTTTCTCAACCCCTGCAGGACAGGGCATAGTGCCAAGGAATTTTCACCTTCAACCAAGGACAAATGTGAGTAGAAGGGCAAATATGCCAATTGTGGTAGACTGAAAAATGTCCTAGTACCTGAAACCTGTGAATATCCCCTTGTGTGACCAGAATTGTAATTAAGGATCATGAGATGGGGAGATTATCCTGGGTTATCAGTTGGGTCCTAAATGCAATCACGTGTCCTTATAAGAGCTGGGGATAGGCTAGGAGAGAAAAATGTAATGTTACACACAGACAGAAGAAGAGTAGGAGGCAGTGTGACCACAGAAGCAGAGATTTTCATAACAGAGCCAGAAATCAAAAAATGCCAGGAACCACCAGAAGGGGGAAGAGGCAAGGAACAGATTCTCCTCTGTAGGCCCTGCTGACAGCATGATTTTAAAGATAATGATTTTGGATTTCTGGCCTCTAGATCTGTTGTCTTCAGCCACAAAATTGTGGTAATTAGTCACAGCAGCCATGGAAAGCTAATACACCAATATTTATACTAATAAATATGCCAAGGTCTACACTCAAAGGTAGCATAACTCTCTGGTACCTTCTCCATTGTCTCCTGGAAATTCATAAAAGGACTGAACCCCACCTGCAGAAGTAACCTAGTCAACAGCCTACTCTATTACTTCCCTTTCCAGTCTCACTTTATATCCTGCTGGCAGAAGTTCCTGGACTCTTCTTTGGAAATAAATTGCTTGCACTTAGATCCCTGTATATTAGTTTCTAGGGTCACCGAAACAATATATCACAAATTGCATGACTTATAATTTAATTTTCTTACAGTTCTGGAGGTTAGACATAAAGGTATTGGCAAAGCTGATTTCTTTTTAGGGAAACAGTTACATTTTTCTCTCCTAGCTTCTGGTGACAAGAGTCATTCTTTAGCTGGCAGGTACATCACTCCAATCTCTGCATCACTTTCTTAGGCACTTATGGAACATAAAGGCCCTAGAG